ACTAGTTAAGTTAACCTTAACTTAACTACTACTATATAGTATATATATACACCACTAACTAACTAACTACTACTAATAATATATATATATAGTAGTAGTGTGTGTGTGTGTGTGTGTGTGTGTGTGTGTGTGTGTGTGTGTGTGTGTGTGTGTGTGTGTGTGTGTGCGTGTATATATATATATATATATATTACCAACTGGCAAAATAGTACATTATATGAATCTCTCACCATCCATTTTTTATACCCAAAATTATTAATGTCAGTCATATTTATGTATAAATTGCAGATTATGCTGAAATTTAATTCTTTAAAATACCTTGATCAAATTTTTAAATAAAACTAGCAGATGGTACAGAAAATAATGCTTTGATTTATATTTGGAACTTTGTAAAGAACCAAACATAAGTTATAATTTTCCTACACTGAAAATGTACTTCTGACAGGTATTTACTTCCGCTCACATACATAGCTATTCTTGTTCAGTGCTGCTGTCTATTTGGAAAATTTTTTTCACATGCCACAAGCCTTTCACTCCCACACACTCCTCAATTCATATGGTTTAACTGATTCTCCATTGCAAATTATCATGCGACAAACCTCTTCTAACAGTAGTGTCACACACACACCTATGTGACTCATGTAACTCCCACTATGCTATTGTACCTAACTATCACTTCACCTTTAGGCAGAAACGTAAGCACTGGTTGACAATTGGAAGTAAGTACGTTTTCAGTATAGTAAAATTATCACTTCTAACAAGGTTCCTTACTTCCACTCATACACATAGCTAGAATCTCATATTGAATAAGTGGAGGACCGGTGCAAGGGAAAAAGTAAAAGCATCATTCAAAAGCATCCAAAGGACATTAAAATGAACGAATCCTCTAATAAAAGTATTATACATGGGAGACCACACCACTTCTGTACCAGGTTATACTCTTCACTCATATGTAGAAAAGTGTGATAGATCTGGGCAGAAAATTGTAAGCAGCACTTCCCAACAGGAAAGAAAATGGTTGGACAGTGATTCTAACCACAATATATTATAAATTCAATCTCTCTGATAAACAGAACGTGGGTAAAATAAGGGAAGTGCTCTAAGGTGTAGAATGGCCACGGCACAACAGACTGTATACAGCAAGTAAACTGCAGCCAATATTTGACACCCAGAAATTGACACCTATATGGGGGTAGGACAAGGATCATACAGTCTTTACCTCAAGTTCAGCTGACTGGAAGGAGAAATCCCACCACTGATCTGTGAACATTGCATATATGAGCAAGTTATAAATTATATATATCAAACTGGGAACCCAACTTCCAGATGAATAGAAGCAATAAAGATGTCCCTGTAATGTGCTACATCTCACTCAAAACAAATAGACCAGAACCACCCCGATGCAGTATCACCCTTGGCATGAAGACATCAAGGAGTAGTGCAAGAGGAAGAAGCAGAGTAACCATCAAGTGCACTCACCATGACCCCCAATGCTGAAGCAGTGTTCTCAAGCAAATTGAGTAAGAGACATGTATAAGGACTTGTGTTGATTGGTTCAGCCCTAAACCCAAAACTCAACTCTAGGTATTGACATCCATGAGGGGGTAGAAGGAATCCCAATCATCAAAACATGAGTGTGGACAATATGTTGATCGGTTCAATTTGGAGAACATCTCGTCATCTACAGCAGCAAAATGCCAACACCCTACTCTCAACTGAATGGAGTCATTACTGTTTATATTTTATATCTCTCATTCAGGAGGATACCTCTATCCATGGTTCACCATCCCAGTGGCTGGCAAATTTGTAATGAAGTGCTAGCTTCTGCAACTGTGTAGAAATATAAAATATTTCCACTTTGAAATAAGTTACAAATTTCACTATCTGTAATAATAAAAGGACATGTCTGTGTATCTGTGACTACCATAGCTCAAAGAGGAAAGAACCTAGAGACCTGAAATTTTGCACCCATACTAAGTGGACCCTGAGAGTGTGCATATGCACATCTTTTTTATGAGGCAAGCTAGTGAAAAACCACATAAAAAAGAACTTTGACTGCCATGGCTTTAAGAAGAAAGAACCTAGAAACCTGAAACTTTGTACCTATACTAAGTGGACCTTGGGGTGTGCACCAGTGCTCCATATAATTTTTTCAATCCTTGTACAGAGTGAATTTTTTCAACAAGTGGACCAGTGTCAAGGCAATGTGCAGATGTCCACTACAGTTTTTTTTAAGGGGGGGGGGAGTATTTTTGGACCATTGGCCCTATTGAATCATTAGCCCACTTTACAATGCTACCAGTTGGTTATTTGGGCTTTAGGTCTATTGAATGCTAGGGTCATTAAGGCATTCAATTTGTTGAGACTCCTCACCATTACCGAGGATGTGTGCAGTTGGAATAATTAAGTGTGCATTTGATTGTTTGTTGTGCGGCTGCACAGCCGCACATCTCAGAGGGAACACTGGTGTGCACCTGGGTTATTATTACTTATTTACATGTGTGCATACATGTAGATATTTTAAGTGAGGTAAGCTAGCAAAAAAAAACACCTAGAAAAAAAGTGTTTCCTTACATAACAACTTGCCCGGCATGGCCAGGTGGATAAGGCGCTCGACTCACAATCTGAAGGTCGTGGGTTCGAATCCGCATCCCACCAAACATGCTCGCCCTTTCAGCCGTGACGGTCAATCCCACTATTCATTGGTAAAAGAGTAGCCCAAGAGTTGGTGGTGGGTGGTGATGACGAGCTGCCTTCCCTCTAGTCTTACACTGCTAAATTAGGGACGGCTAGCGCAGATAGCCCTCGTGTAGCTTTGTGCGAAATTCCAAAACAAACAAACATAACTTCTAATATATAGAAAGGACAGTGTGTTTTGGTAACAATACATTCCAACAATGGCTTTTATGTCATGTTGCTTAGCAACAAAAGTATAACCTAATATTGTTATTAGTCTATGTACTGAAAGTATAAAATGAAATGTATAAACCATAAAATTGAAAAATATTTTGGTTAATTTCTTAATTTAGAGTTTCCGTCGATTAAAAGAGGTTTGCTTTTTTTATTATCAATGTTGATGATATAACAGAATATACCTTAATTCAGAAACAACTTGAGTTTAAAATTGGATCGATATTTTTACTTTCATGATAAATTTGGCTTTAGGCTAGGTTATCTCATACTGTGTTTACTTTAGGCTTATTTATTAATTTCATTAAATCATACAACATTCCACTATACTTTTAAGGTTTCATGGCACCTCCCTTTATTGCCCCCTTGCACTCCCCGTCACTAAAATCATAATGTATGCCAAAATTGAAACAGAAAGGCTACGATTCATTCACATACATCAAAAGAAGCTCCAAGTTGAAGACTATTGTCCACCTGTGGGATGCTAAAATAGGTTCAGAATAACACACTGACATAGTCATCTAGAATACATCAAACTAATAACCCGAGCAAAGCTGAGTACTTTTGCTAGTTGTATAATAAACAGTAAACTTGTTGAGAGAAAATGATAGAAAGATACAAAAAAAAAAAAACACTTGAAGAGAGCACAAACTAAACGTCTGAACACGAGTAATGCCAAACAAAAAGTGATAGCTTAGAGGGAATCACGAGTGCTGTATGTGGGTGGCACTACCATTGGTGGAGATTTGTCACATAATAATTTTCATGTGAGAATCAGTTAAACATGTGAATCGGGGGGTGCCTGGGAATGAAAGGCTTGTGGCATGCAAACATTTTTTGAAATAAAGGACAGCACTGAATGAGAATACTTATGTAAGGTACTTTGTCGGGAAATAATAACTATGTTTGAATAAATATCAAAAGTTTTACATCTTATCATTAAGTTAACATAATGTTATTTGTGATAATCAACAGATATTTACCACACACAGTTTATGTTCCAGTCTTGCCTTATAGTTCATTTCTTTACCAGCTTGGTTCTTTTTAAACAGGGGCATTTTGCAACTTCTGAATTAGAAATAATAAACAACCTGGAATAAAAGTAAAGAGATAAATTGTTAAAATTAATGAACATTTTTAATTCACCAAAAGAAATGCATTTCCAACTTTCAGTAACATTCTCTGCTGCAAGGTTCAAAAGCCCATTTGTGACCCACAGAGACCTGAATGTATTGATCAAACTCCTCCATTATCCCCAATTATTTCTTAGAGGTACCCCAAGTGGGCTTCATACCAGGAAAAATCATCTTACGACACCCACTCATAGTACTCTAGCATGTATACCAAGTTTGGTCCTTTTAATTTGTGGGGGTATGAACACACTATCAAACACAGCACTCCCTGGGATGCCAAGGAGGGCCAGGAACACAAAATCTGATTACAGAATCAGCAACCCTGAAAATCTATTCCTAGACCTCCATCATGCCTGCATGATTCTGTGCACATTTCAGTTTTCCTGGATACTCCATATAGATAAGAACAATCCCTGGGCTACTAAGTCTGCCTGCCAAGTTCAGTCTTGCTAGCTCCAAAACTGTGAGAGGTGTTAGCTACACAAATATAGAGATAAAAATAAAGCTACAAGCTGAATTCATATGGGATCTGTGTGCTAAAACAAGTGAAATTTATTATATATAAACTTAGAAAATTAACTGACATTTAAAAAATTTTACAGTTACTAAACACAGGAGCATTAGTTCATATTAGCACAGAAAATTAAGTTCAAGAGTATGGGAAAACTAAATTAATTCTATTTTTAATATCAATACACTAGAAATGTTTCACACTTTTTAGCATTTACCTATTACAACTATGTGCATCTTTTTAGTAATAAAAACTTAGGATATACTATATAAGTATTTTTAATATTGCACCTTATTAATTTAAATTCAGAGAAACATATTCTATAAATTTATTTATTATATTTAACTTTTAGTTTGATTTGGTATGAATTAAAGACTTGTATAGCTCAAGTGGTCATTACACAACTGCAACTTATAGAAAATCTGCTGCAGTGATAGGATATTTAAAAAAATTCATACATAATACAAGAACGGAAAATATATTAAAGTTAAATCCCTTATCCTTCAGAATATTGAAAATGAGCTCTAGAAAGCATGGTTTTGAGTATGAATAGTATAAACAAAGATGGAAAGTAAGGCATGGTGTTCATTCCAGTAAACAAGTGTGCAGTTCATTAAACAAAAGTAAGGAGAATACTGTTATACAGCACTAAACCATTCTTATGTTTCATACTCAACAACAAAAAACAGTATCAGTTATTTGTAGCTACTACTGTGATTAACCTAACACAACATACAGACAACAAGAAACCATTTAGTTTTTCATGAGTCAAGAATGTAATTCCACACCCATCTCTAAGGAAAAAAGTAAAAAGCAAAATTTTAAACTCACCCTTTATTTTTCAGAAATTCCTCACTTCCCTTCTTAAACTCTCTTAAGTTGTTGTCAATGGAAACTTAATCCAAAGCTAATAATCCAATTAACTGCTTTTTCCCAAACACTATCAATGTGATTTTCTTAAACAATCTTGTGTATGACACCTTTACAAAATCTCGGTTCACCAGATTTATCCCTTTTCCATCATCCAGTTAAAAAATAATATTATCAAAAAAAATTTCTCTTCAGTGAATCCTTATATTATTGTATTTCACCAAATGATTTTCAATGCCTCTTTTATCAGGCCCTCTAACATTATTCCTACTACAAAGATAAAACTTGTGCAAATCATGGACCTCAAATCCATAGTTCAATGCTGTATATATAATGGTTCATAATATTTAAAAAGATAACTTAAGGAAATAATTATAAAACTATCTAAAAATCTACTGCAATATTGCAAAAAATGGAGATTTACTTCAAAGCTACAAATTCTACAATCAGTATAAATTACATAAAGCATACTGTGCTAAAACTATACAAGTTAAATGTAAAGAAAAAATAAATACACAGACCAAAGGGAAGATCATTAAACTGAAAATTTGGATGAATATATCACATTTCACTTAAGTTTATTTCATCTAGTCTTAAAGAACTACAGAAAAACATTCTAAATTTCATTAGAATATTCTCAATTTTCATTAGACACCCATTCTATTTGAAAAATCATGTTTCATTTTTCTGAGATATAGCTTTTCTAAAATTCAGGACTTAGCTTTTATTAACTATTATTTGTTTCAATAACAACAAAAGTAAAAATATTATGCAAATTAGTATCTGCAAGCTCTGGCAAAATTACATTTTCAATTATATCATCTCTTTTATCAAGACCAACGTCAAAAACAAAGTCATCACTAAAGAAAGAAAGATAATCTCCCATAACATCAAGAATCTTTTTATTCTTGAATGCACAATGACAAGCATATTCTACTAATTTTCATACAGTTAGAGTACCTAACTGTGTCAACAATCTAATAATGATTTAGGCATATATAAAATCCTAATAAGCGATATGCCAATAGCACACATCCCAATCTTCTACAGTCTAGAACCAGTATAATGATTAGAATCATGCTTTTAAAATTATTGAAATTTTCTAAAGCTCTAATTTAGAACTTACTAAGTTTGTTCAAAATCAAATGCCAATTTAGCCCTAGATGTTATTTTTCGTAGCAGAGCCAAATTATGGAAACTATTTTGTGCTTAATGGAATAGTTGTATAGTATCCTACTTCCCTTGTATATGTGTCTGTGTCCAATGAAATATATATTTTTGGATGCTTCTTAGCTACAGAAAGAAAACAGTTTGTAAACTTAGATTTGATGTTTTCAAGTATATCCGTTTCTGATTCGGAAGAACCATTACTTGCTTGAGAAGCCTCATCTCAATATCCTGATACCTCAACATCTTCAATACAACTAGAAATACCAATTTAATCTCATCCACAAATTTTACTAATTATGCCCCTATCAATATCATGTAAATAAGCAGAACACAACTAGAAATTAACAGTGGTCTCTTCACCATTGGCCACCAAAAGTGCTGGTGGACTACTTAAAAGGTTTTCCTTGGTCGTCCATGTGCTACAAAACAAAATGCTCATGAAAATCTAAATTTAAGTGATTAATTCTTCTACAAGATAAATAATGTCACGAGACAAGTACAAGAACAACAAAGTTAACCTGAGAATTATTTTCAATACTATTCTCAAATATCAAGTCAATATCTTGCCGTTATCTGAAGAGTTGGATACATTGACACAATGGCACTCGTGGACTGAGACCCTATCTGAGCTTGCACTCAGCCAGCTCCAATTGGGTACAGTATATCTGCCAGCACAGTGGAAGTAGATGCCATGCATGGCACAGACATTAATGAAACTTCAGCTGCATACTGTGCTGTATGCAGTGGATCCTGGCCTCCACTCCAGGTTCTGAAGGGCTGCACATGCTTTCTAATTTTCTCAAGAAAAAGGAGTATATCTTGCAAGGTCACCTAGGTCCAAGAAATGTTGCAAACAAGGATATTTGAAGCTCCTTTCCCAAGAAATTGAACAAAGTGGTCTTGAATTGAAATTGTCACAATCCCCTCATAAGGAAGTAAAATTTTTACATTCCCTAAAAAAGGGGGTAAAAGTATTTGAAAGAGGGATAAAAAAGTATTGTTAAGGAATTTAGGTACAAGCATACATGTAGGTACCACCAGCCCCTAAATTAGATGTGTGAGGGGATAAATCAAGATTATGAATTTACATTTTGGTGGTATGAAAATCAATAAAACACACATGGATAAAAGGATATTTATGGTGGGATATGGCCTGGAAGATGAAAACAAGAGATATGGTAAATAAAGAAAGAAAGAAAAAAAAATCTGGTATTAATGAAACCCAAAAAAAGAAAAAAGAAGAAAATTACATCGTATCAACTACTTTACACCTCTATCAACTGGATCATGATCATTCATCCAGATGGACTCTTGAATTATGTTGATCATCATAGCATTATTAGCCAAGGATTACCCTGATTTATGTCATGGGATGTCACTCTTGGTCTTTCAGTGTGGGTAACACATTGGGTTTTGTAGTTGCTATATTATATAATTGAACTGAATGTAGGGAGAAGAATGAGACAATAGATGAATGATGTCTTGAGTCAATACAAGAAAGAATTGTGTGGGCCCACTGTTTTGTGTCAAAAATTTATTTCTCTTGGTGATGGATTGGATGTCGTGTATAAAAGTGATGAAGGGTGATGGCAGATGAATAGCAGTAGACACGAATGAGCGGAGGTCACGTGATACTAGTAACACGTCATGCACTTCTCGAACGTTCACGTCCTTCCTGACTTCTCGAGAGCTTACTAGATTCGTTATTCTTGTATATATAAGACAGTCACAAAGTGACGGCAACAATGTATAATTGAACTGAGTATTGTTGAGTCGAGCATGTGAGACGTTCGTTGTGAATTATAGCGTTTGTTATAGCACGACTGTGGAAATTAAGTGTATTGCAAAGTTGTATTCTGAAAGAATAAACCAGTTTTATTTAAGAAAGGTCTTGTGTCGCTAAAGTTTTGTCGGAATGAAATTTACGGAAAATTAACTAACGAATGGAGACTTAAGAAATTGGTGTCAGAGAGTGGGACAAACAGAAAAAAAAACAAATGGAAACGAGAAGCGGCAAATCAAACTACAGCTTAGCAGACTTGATGGCAGCAATAAAAGAGCAGCAAAAGAAACAAGAAGAACGAGAAAAGAAACAAGAAGAGAGATTACAGCAGCTGTTGGAGGAAAAAGAAAAGAAACAAGAAGAGAGACAACAGCAGTTGCAAGAGAACCTGCAACAGTGGCAGCTGGAACAGCTAAATAAACAAGAGAGATGACAGCAGTTGTTAGCGAAAAAAGAAAAGAAACAAGAAGAGAGATTACAGCAGTGGCAACTGGAACAAGAAAGGAAACAGGAAGAAAGTCAGCAGCAACTACAGGAAGGTCAACAACAGTGGCAAGAAGTACAAATGGAAAACATTAGTAAATTTAAAAGCGAGTTAGATACATTAAAGGATGATCTATTGTCTTTTACACAAGGAGGATACATTAACCACAGACTTAATCAGCCCCAGACAATGACAAGCCCCTTCCAGACCCCGTAGCTAAACCCTAATACACGCATATTCAGTCCTGTTAGAAGTCACATCCCAGATATGAATGTCAGTAATAGGAGTGACCCAGTACAAAGGAAGCCACAGGAATTTGATGGGAAGGCACCGTGGGAAGTATATAGAACACAATTTGAATGGATCAGAAAGCAGTATATTTGGCAACGAGCTTGAAGGGACAACCACTGGAAATACTTGGACAGTTGTCAGCAGACGACAGACAACTATATAGCACTGGTAGCAGCTCTAGAACTCAGGTACGGAACCCAAAATCAGTCAGAAGTCTACAGGGTTAGGTTTAGGACGAGAGTCTGTGCTAAAGGGGAGAGCCTGCAAGAGCTGGCACAGGACTTGGAAAGTATGGCAGGCAAGGCCTACCCAACTGCACCACCCGATGTCCTCAAGCTGTTGCTGAAGGATCAGTTTGTAGATGCCTTGGACAGTCCACAACTGAATGTACAAGTGAAGCAAGCACACCCCTCTACTATACAAGATGCAATGGCCAGAGCTCTTGAAATCGAATCCTACGTTAAGTCCAGCACAGAGGTACCAAGGTTGGTACAGTGACGATTGGAAACAACAAAGTCCAAATTCCA